CAGGAACTTAAATAATGCTTAAAAAGTATTTTCCGATTCCCCCGGAATTACCAGAAAAAGCCATCGACTGTTTATCGATTCATGGGTAGCCAAAAATCGGTATAAATCGGCATAAAACCTCAAAAATCGGTATTCTGAGGAACCTTATCTGCACATCGGTATCTAGTTCGAAAATCGGTATATCTGGCAACGCTGGCTGAAACGTAAACACGGCGAAAAGTGAAGGGCGACACTTTCAAGGAAATCAAAACAAGGCGCATAGTATTGGGCGAATTGATGTTGTCATACAACTTTCGGGGCGATTCAATGAGGGCGTATTATTGACGTTCCGCATTTACGGGCGAAATTATAAAAATGACAAGTTTTCAAGAGAAAATGAATAAAAGGGGATTTTAAACTCAACACAAATAAAAATGGATTTAGCGTAACTTTTATACTATTTAGATTTCATTATTTTTTGAGTGTACGCTATTGTATCTAACTTTCAATACAATAATAAAGCTTGTATTTAAACAGTCGCTGTTAGCAAATTACACAGTATGAACGAAACGTGTAATTTTCTGTTTTACTACATGTAACAATAAGGTTCCATGATAAATAACATATTTTTACATTAGTTTTTAAAATTACATGTTGTGTTTTGTTACGATGTAAAGTTCAACGTCATGTAATTTTTTCTCATAGATATTTTTTGAGGTTATGAATAGTATTTTCGGGAGTCGTTTTTCTTAGGACAATTTTGAATGATTTCATCGTAAATTTTTAATTTTAGATTTCTTTCCATATACTAACTACATTTTAAAATAAAATGGACATCAATAACTTCAAAGCACGCTCTCCTTTAATGCATATTTTGACATCACTGTGACCCGCTTGGAGTGGAGAGCATGCAAATTGATGTTTTTAAATAATCTCCGTTGGTCCTGCAGAAAGGACCACCACCATCGAGATTTGGAAGCGCAGATCCGTTTTTGAATTCCTGGGAAATTCCACGTTCCAAGCGCTGGAATCGAAAGCTACGGATCAGTAACCTATTCGATTTTTGCATAGCGACGGATCTTACGAAAATCAGTTCCCGAATGAGAGCGATGGGGCTTCTTCATCCTTCCGTTGGCGGGATCACACTTATGTCCGATTATCGCCACTTGGGGTACATTGTATCCCGTTAATTTTCTAGCGGTTCGCATCGTATTGACCATTCCATATTCAGATTTGAAGAAATTTCGCACTGAAAAGTTGAAGAAATTAGTGTTGTACATAAAATTCATGAAGCTTATATTTTAAACCAGGAACTTACCATAACACTTCTAGATTCTGTCACTACTTTCAGTGCGTACCTATTACTGTAATGCTAGTGATACGATAAAAGATGAAGAGGAAATTTGTTTTGATAAACACGTCTTCTATCATGGCTGACGCACTGGTTTGTTGATATACGTCAAACGCTGTATGCCGAAAAAAATTACGTTAAGATGTAAAATTATAATGTTTATGATTTAAAGTTGAATGTGTCATGTAAAATTAAATTGTGTTTCAATTAAATTTATACCATTAATTTAAAATTAAATCGAAAGGGATCCAATTCTAATTTGGATGTAATGTTTTCGGTATGTACGTCTTTACAAATGTAAAATTATGTGCGCTATTGCATTACGTTAGCAATTATTCAGCGACTACTCAAATTAAGTGACGGTTAATTTTCATTTATTTTTGCGGTGTAGATATTTCAAAATCCGGGTTTACCAATTGTATTTTAAATAAACCTGCTAATTTTGCTTTCAAAAAGTCATAATCAGCGATTTCCTGATCGCTGATAGTGAAGAATGAAAATTGAAGAATGAGATAGAGAAAATTATAAAATAGCGTATTGAGACTCACTCTCAAGCGGAATTGTCAAACACAAACACCTCAACCTTGACTTCTTCTTGATACTTACAAATACAGAATATCATAATAATATCTTATGATTCCATTATCACATAAAACAATTTTTTTATGCAGGTGTTAACTATAATAATAATAATAACATGGGGTGATATTTATTTCCGGTACTAGTCACAGTATGCATAAATCCAAATATGAGTTAGTTTATACCAATATTTATTAATAATCTTTACCGACCTCAGAACTTTTATGCAAATATAATGTACAAATTACACTAGTTTACAGCATTTTTGAACTCGGTAAGGTGATGATCATTTCCAATGCAAAATCCTACGCTGAATTCAATGCCGTGGTCAGAAAAAAATAAAGTAGAGCCATTTTTGAGATTTACAAAAATTTTGATTTTTTGAATTTTGGACAAAAGTACGATTACTAAAATGTCAATATCTGTGGAACTATTGCACCAATTTTAAATCTTTTTTTATGAAAATGAAGCTAAATAAATTTGCTATCGTTCACTAGAATATTATGTCTTAATTAAAAATTTAATTTTGAAGTCATTTAAAAATTTACAGCATTTTTTTGTATTTTTCCTGCGAATTTTCATAAAAATCTTGTTTTAATCAACATTTTTAATGGGATAAAAAGATTCAAAAAATCAATCCATAATTTATTCTTAAAGTCCATTCAAAACCAAAGAAAATGAGCCTTTAATGGATGAAATCGGTTGGAAATTGTCGAAGTTATGAGCATTTTTGTAAAACACTTAAAAATGTTGCTGAAATACAACAGCTTTAGAGTTCCTTTTCTAGGTGTCGTTGTAAGCATCCAAATCGCATGTAAAGTTTTCATGGGAGATTCTTTTCTCTACATATCAATTTGATTAAGGCATATCAGGATTTAAAACCGAGTTGATACAAAAGAAATTTATTTAGGTTTTATTAAAAATGATTGAGAATCGAATGACTTTGTCTTCGATGTTTTGAACTTGTTTCCCGAATCAGAAACCAACAATAGTCACCCATCATTGCTTCATCCCAAAACCCTTGGTAACGACGTTCCATCATCTTCATTTGTTGGTGAAAACGTTCGCCGTGCTCATCACTCTCGTCCCCAAGATTTTCCGGAAAAAATCCATGTGAGAATGTAGGAAATGTATCTTCAAAGACATATTCACACCTGTGTTCAGTGAAATAAAAGGATTTGAAATTAATTATATGTAACAAACACCATATTTTTGATTTATACCTATTTTCTCATAATTTTTGAGCAATTCATCGACGGCTTCCTCATAATCTGGGCTTTTGAAATTTCCTAAAAAGGTTGTGACAACACGCTGGAACGATTTCCACGCTTCTTCCTCATCTGGTGTCAAAACTGTATTGAATGCGGAATCATTGAGCAGTTTTTTGATCTGTGGGCCAACAAATACACCTTCCTTTATCTTTGCGTCAGATAAATTTGGAAATAATGATTTCAAGTACTGGAATGCCGGCCCTTCTTTTTGCAACGCTTTGACGAAATTTTTGAATAGCCCAAGTTTTATATGTAGTGGTGGAAGTATTATGCGTTCTTTTACCACAAGAGGATCATTTTTAACGTTGTCTTTACCAATTGTAAAATTATCCCGTTTTGGCCAATCTTTTCGGACGTAGTGTTCCTTACGAGCTCGACTGTCCCATTTACACAAAAAAAAACATATATTTTGTGTATCCCTGTTGCAATCCAGTCAACATGGCAACCACTTTAAGATCGGAACAAATTTTCCAATTGTGTTGATTGTAATTTATCACTTTAACACTTATCAAAAATAGATGAAGTAAGATAATGTCGATCAGGAAAGAGCAAAGCACTACCATGCTGTACATAAATTGTTTATATTAAAGTTATTCAAAAAATCAATTTACCTTGCGCCTGACATCCACCTAGCCAAGCACGTTTTGCACGAACTACATAATACTTTTGGAATCCACGGTTCGTCAAAGTCTCCAGGATCAATTTTAAAATAAAGCCTGTATGCAGTTTGCAACGAAGCAGTGAAATTGACCGATTTTGTAAATATATAGTTCTCGATATAGTTGCCACACGCGTAACAAAACTTTTGAGGATCATTTTTACACTTGAATTCACGTTTTGTCGTATACATCGTTAAGCAATGTTAAAGAAAGAAAGCTGTCAAATTGAGTTGGTTGCGTTAGGTTCTCGCCGAGCGGTCTCACAAACACTAGCGTAAATTATATTGTTGAAAATATCCCATTTAATTTTGCGTGACAGCTGGTAGTGTTAGTGAAATGCACCGTATGCGTACACGTCCGCAGAAAGGCTTACTGGAAGTGGTGCATGAACCTAGGAGCGGGACAACGGCCAATCTTGGAACATTCAATTTCCATGATTTTACAAAAAATTTCATAACTTCGACAATCTCCAACCGATTTCATCCATTAAAGGCTCATTTTCTCCAGTTTTTAATGGACTTTAAGAATAAATTATGGAATGATTTTTTGAATCTTTTTTTCCCATTAAAAATGTTGATTAAAACAAGATTTTTATGGAAAATTCGCAGGAAAAATAAAAAAAATGCTGTAAATTTTTAAATTACTTCAAAATTAAATTTTTAATTAAGACATAATATTCTAGTGAACGATAGCAAATTTATTTAGCTTCACTTTCATTAAAAAAAAGATTTAAAATTGGTGCACTAGTTCTAAAGATATTGACATTTTAGTAATCGTACTTTTGTCCAAAATTCAAAAAATCAAAATTTTTGTATATCTCAAAAATGGCTCTACTTTTATTTTTTCTGACCACGGCATTGAATTCAGCGTAGGATTTTGCATTAGAAACGTTGGTCAACCACTAAAGTTCACACTTTTTATGTTGTTTTGTAAACTAGTGTTATGAATTTGTTTTTTTTTTCTTTCGTTTACTTCTTAAGAATGCAGCCCTGGACTGATTTGCACAGTGTGCAATAAACTTTATCACATTCTTTTAGAAATAATTACAGACGTTCTGGTGCTTGACCATTCAAATGTTGTATTGCAAAGTTTAAATACCGATTCGACCCCATCTTGTAATAACATACTCAATCATAAATCTATATCTCCTTTTTTTTGCAGATACCGATGAAGAATTACAACAGCCCCGGCTCTTTTCATGAACCGATAATCAACCAATAACTGTCATTTGCGATCGCCTTGCCTCCACATTATTGGTACCGCTCCATAAAAGGATTAGCAAAGCCTACTAAGAAAGCCGCACACTGCTTTTGTTGTTGTTGATGTTGTTCTGAGTAGTGAGGAGTTATTAGCCACAGTTGATGGGTTCGTGGCTGCTACAGTAGATAGATGGCGCTTAGACCCACCTCACATGAGCGAACCCTTGTCCAAGTGGGTGGTTTTTTCTTGCGCGGTGTGATGTAGGAACCATATGAACCTCCAAGTATATCCAAGAGATTAGCTGTGGGTCCATGCTTCTTGTCTTATTGCTTACGCTTAGAGTGAGTGGTTCATGTAAGTGCACCCAACTGGGGGGAAAAAGCACCACATCAATCGACCGTGCACTGTGAGCTGAGTGAGTTTCGCTGTACATAACAAGGCTCGAATGTGTCCGTGAGTGGAAAAGAGCATCTAAGAATCAAGCACGCTTAGACGACGCGCCTCTTAAACCCTATGGTTCACTGCGCCTGGTGGCAGAAAAGTGAAGTGGCCTATTACATAACCATAAATTACCATTCGGAATTCGAATTGTAATTCAGTGTGGATGTAGAAGAGAAGAAGTAATCAGGAGAAGGCTGAGGCATCGGGTGTGTAGGTTCCGCGTTTGGTGCTTAGTCAAACAAGAGAGAAAAAAAAAGTCGAACAAGCAAGCAGGCAAATAGTCCGGTGAAAAACGGCGATTAATTATTCAATCGGAAGTGAATGCTTCTTCAACAGACGAAGCCACCGCTGTAGAGCTGTAAACCTAATTGGGACAAAGTCAACAGCCCTTGTTTTGCAATAAGTGCCTGCAGAAGCAGTAGCAGCAACCTACAAAAAGTTGGAATTTCTGTGGAGTCGGGTATCGCATTCGGGGTAAAAAATGGTGCTCTGCGACAGTGATTTAGGTGAGTTATTGACTACTGTGGCTAAATGCTTTCAACACATGTTGCTCTAAGTGGAAAGGGGAATAAAAATACGGAGAAGAATTATAGATTTCCGTTTGAGAAAGGTTAAAAACTTTAAGATGGATGCTTTCCTTCCGTTGACGATTTTGTTTTGTGCTGCTGTGTCGAGTGCGTGAAATTCGTCATCATTGTTGTCAGTTTACGAGGTCGTAAAATATATATTAAAAAAAGCTTACTCATACTGTCCATTTTTCAGCGCAAACATAGTACTTCTTGAAAGAATAGTGCTTTTCAAGTACATCCGTGAATCCATTGTCTAGCTGTCAGATTTTCCAGAACCTATCACTAATGTATGCAATGTGCTTGGGTCTTTTGACCGTAGATCGAGTATTCCAGGATCTGTTGACATTAAACTTGACTCATTTTAAGACGATGCCGTTAGTTTTCTTTTCCCACAAGTGTGACCAACTATTTAATAAAACAATTCCAAACAGGATTCCATATCATTGGCAGTTGGTCAATGTAATGCATTCGATGGCTGAGTTGTGTGTGCCAATGAACTAGAAAACGCGATCTCAAGCAGACGGCATGCGTGCCCGACTCACGGCGGAAAGCGCAGTCAATATGGACTTCCCAATATGGATGTGCACTTTTTCCGGCCAGTCGATATTTTATTAAATTAATCAGCAGGAAAAATAATACCATTCAGCGAACGACGGATGGACGGCGTGCGGCGTGCTGTGTCCAGTGAAATGTACCCAGTTGTACATTGCTGCCTCGTTACCCCTCTTTCCAATCCGCATCGAACGAATCCATTGATCCATTCGACATTCGCCGGAACTTGCTTCCACTCTCCACAGTACCCACCGTTACCAGGGCTTTATAATCATCGAACAGGTGTGCGTGCACTGTGGCATTGCCACACTTTACGAACCCCGCTAAAGCATATGCACATCCAGCACATATGCACATTATACCTACAATTAATTTCTCAACTTTACACAGCCGACCGGCACGCGGTTCGGCGTTTCGGGGCTAATCGGAGAATTGCGCACTCATCGGAAGAATTGGGACTCCGACGACGAAACGAGGCACGCGTCCGGTCCGGCCTCGGCAATTGCATCCGTACATTACAACATCGACTGCCAGAGTCTCGATTGAGGTCTTTCTTTTCCTTTCCTTTGTGCACTTGAAGTGCAGCACTTCCATAGGCTACTGTTTTGGGCTGACCCCTTCCTGCAGACAATGTTAATGATGTGTATGAATGGGAAAGAGTAATTTAAAGAATGCCTTTCCATTCTACTCTACCCCCCTGTTTTGTAGATTCTATATTTGCACCCAAAATTGAATGGGTGAGCAGGAGGACGCTTTATCACTGAATCATTTTCCTCCATAAAATAGCGCTTCACTTTTCATTTCACACACACTTAGAAAATAATACCGAACTCGGTTTAATTTTCTACCGAACCTCTTCGGTTACCAACGAGAAACCGAATAAATGGTTAAAAAACATTTTTTTCAGACCCGAATTTCGGTAAAATAGTATAAATTTGACAGATAGAAATGAAGACTGAACCGAAAAGTACGGTAAAGTATCGACATTTACGAATTCGCTACGTGAAATCCGAGAAACTCGGTAAACTGAACCGAATATTCGCTAAAACGTGTTAAACGTCAAACGCTTAAACGTCAAACGTTCCACTTGCGCTCAACTTCACGACGGAAATTTTAACCGAAAAATCGGTTCTCTAAACTGAGTCTAAAATTAGTCAGCCATTTTTTTTCGCGTGAGCTCGTCGGACGTGTGCAAAACTTTAGAAAAATAGAAAAAGCTCTGCAGCTGCAACAGGAGGATGCACATTTGAATGAAATATTTTGTAAGTATTTGAAACTAACCGTATGATTTTATTTGCAGGCATCTTATGCTATAGTTTGCTTCTACTGAAAAAATTACATATTTTTTTGACTGTACTTTTCCACGCTGTAGCTCGCGTTACGGAAGTTTTTTTTTTCTGCCAAACTAATTAAATAGATATATTTTATGCATTTCTTTGACAAAACTGGTTTTATTATTATGAAAATTCGAAACAACGCATCCTTAATCAAAACTTAAATCAGGATTTGAAGTGAAAACCTAAGAGAACCGAATTCCGCAATTACAACAGGTGGGTCGGTTTGTTTGACAGCGTTCGGTAATTATTGAGTAAACCGATGTTCGGTTATTCCTGCTTAAATTTATTTTTCGTCAACCGAGATTTTCGGTAACTTTGACAGATTTTGGGTAACAAAAAGAACTAACGACAGCTCGGTTATTCCTATTTGAACCAAACATACTAGCGAGCGTTCAGCAGATAAAAACTCGGTTGAAATCAAACCGAGTTCGGTAATATTTTCTAAGTGTGCATCGGATTTCCTCAATCGAATGAAGTGGAATGCTCCAAGAAAACATATCGCCAATTTTGGGTGCAACAAGAGGCTACGGTCAGCTTTCATTGGTACTGTCGCTAATGTAATTGCTAATATCCGGTTAAGGTTCAATTTACTTTGATGCATTTTTGAAAAATTCTAACGCAGTTTTTTTTGATGCATCATTTCAGCCTGCGTCATTTTCTGTAAAATAGTAAAGGGAATAGAATGACGCGAGGTTTTTGCAATCTGAAACGATGCATCGAAAAAAAAAACTGCTTTTGAATTTTTCGAAAATGCATCAAAGTAAATTGAATCTTAAGTGACATGTCTCTTCTTTTATTCGTTTTAATTTATTGATTTTGTTGAATGCCTTTTCACTGTTACTTATTTTTTGACATAGAACTACGTCTGTGATTTCTATATTGGGGTACACTTTGTGAAAACCAAAAATGGAACATGCAACAAAATTATGAAAGATTTTGAACGTTAATAACTCAGCTTCCCCTGGACCAGTTTCAATAATTTTATCACCAATCGATCAGAAATATATCTACGCATATGTTAAATTTAAGACTTTATCATTTTTCGAAATGTCACTATTGAAAATTGAACGAATTTGCAACTGTTGTTATGATAATTAAAATTATCACTGATTGCCTGCGGAAAACGATTTTCCTAGCACAGATTTCAAAGTTGAATTGCATCCGGTCTCACCAAACGGTGTTTATTCAATAACCGTTTGGTGAGTGGTGGTGTTTTCCAGTACACAAAAGGATTGGGCGATTTTCAGAGAAACATCGATCTTGCCGGATCGATATTATATTTGGCTCTAGAATCGATCCACTGATTAAATCGGTACCAAAGAATCGATCTTTGGCAGATCGATCTTACGATTTGTTTAATACACTTGTGTTAACGTTGGTACCCCAATAAATTATTTCCTTTATAATATATTCGCGCAAGGTAACGAGCAAACGAAAACAAAGAGGAAATGAACGTTACACTTGCTCACTGTCAATGTGTGCACAGAGAAAAAAAAAATTACCCTTAATTTAAGTTCTTTTTACTTAATTTTGGGTAATTTTGAGTTTTGCATCCCATTCTCACTTTTGTTGTCAAAAACGGAACGAGAGATTCAACTTTCTCATGACTATCGTTCAATTAATCATTTTGTCAAGCTTCTGCATTCATGTTCCATCAGATGTCACTGCTGTTGTTTGTGGTGACATCTATCGGAAACTACGCACAATCTGTTTTCCGTTAATTGTTCACAGAGGACACTGCAGTGCAAAACATGTCTGGTACCTCTATACATGCATTTAGATTATTATTCGAAGTCCCTCCTTTTTTACACATTCTGCACACAAAATAGCTCGCCCCTCACAGAATTTACCGCCGATTTTTATGTATGAGGTGGGGCATAAAGTATCTTTTGCGCAGAATAGGTAAAAAAGGAGGGATTTCAAATGTTAAAGTAAATGCATATATAGAGGTACCAGACATGTTTTGTAGTGTCAGGTACTCTATTTTGTAATCTGTGAAAGGGAAATGACAAATCGAGTGTCAACAAAATACATGGCATGTTGAGAGATTGAGGTCGTGAGAGCAAATTTTCTCTCTCAAATTTGAATTTTTTGGCTCTCTGGGAGCTGGTAGAAAATCAGGTAAAACTGTATGGGGGAAAATCATTTTTATTTAATTGTAGCTTTTTTAACAATAGTTTTCTTTAAAAAATTGAACGACAAAGTCCCTGATTCATTTCTTTAGGCTGTCATTCATTTGTTTTGACCTGATAATGCACCGAAAGCGAATTATTCCCACTTCTCTCAATTTTTATATGGGAATTTTTATCACTTCCTACCAGCGGAACAGCGCCATCTCTGTGGAAAATGGTCGCACAAAATGATTAATAAGCTACTTGTCAGTATATGAGATATTCTCAAATTTGAGTAAATGGAACTTAATTTTGGGTAGAAAATACTCACGAGTAAGTAATTATTTTTGCTGCCGTAGTCAAATGCAAACTACTAACTATAAGCGGTTTACTGAAAATTAGCTTATTGAATGGAAAATGAGTGAAAAGAACTTAATTTTGGGTAATTTTTTGGTTCCGTGTGTGTCAATTCAGTTCGCTTACCAACAAAGTACATGGAGAAACAGATTGACATATTAATGACTTAAGTTTAATCGTTTTCGAGAAAAACGGGACAACTCATAATGAATAATAATTTTTTATAATTTTTGTGTAGTTTTGAATAATTAATGATTAATCAATTAAAATGTATCATTCTGAATCTCCGTCTAGACAAAATGTGACAGCAAGGAGCAATGAGCACAGGAGGAAGGTAGACCAAACTTTTAAATGTTGTTATATTCGTAACTATTGAAAACGCAAATTGTGACGTCATTGTAATCCTGCTAATAACATAGGGAGCTATGCTGATGTTATGTTCGTTAAAATTACCACGCAGTCTGGGGTGAGAGTAAATCGTTTTTTCGATGTAAATACACTTAAAAAAATAAACACATATTTTTTTTAAGATCGAAGAAATCGATTTTTTTTCGATTTTTTCGTGGACAAAGAATCGACT